CAAAGTATAAAATAAAAAGCAAAATAAAAGACAGGTAGTAGGGAGATAGAACTTCCTCAAAGCAGAAGGATAGAAGATAGAAGATGAAAAAAGGAATTAAGTCATACTATGTACACATACCAACTCCTCACAAAGAATATAAACATCAGGTAGTGCAAACATGTACTAATTTTAAGAACTTTTTTTAAAAGAAGAAACAATCATCAATCAAGAATCTTATAACCATCAAAATTTCTTTCAGAAATGAGGAAGAAATTAAGACTTCCCCAAATACACAAAAAACAAAAATTGGGCGAGTTTGTTACACTAACCCTGGCCTGCAAGCAGTGATGAAAGGAGTCTTACAGGTTGAAGTGAAAGTACACTAGACCATAATTAGAAGTCATATAAAGAAACAAATATCTCAGTAATGTAAATATATAGGCACTCATTAAAATTAACATTATGGTAACAAGTTGGTGATACTACTGTTTGTTTTATACATTAAGGGAGTAATATGTCTTTAAAGTTAATATTAATTTAAAAATTTGCTTTAATGTAATTTTGGTTTGTAATTCACATTTTGTCTCCATGCAACTTAAAAGACCAGTGCATTGGGGGCAGGGGATTTAGCTCAGCGGCATAAGCACCTGCCTTACAAGCAGGCAGTCATGAGTTCGATCCCTGGTACTGATTAAAAAAAAAAAAACCAGTGTATTTAAAAGAATCGTCAGTTTGTTTTTCAATGCATAGTGTATAAAGATGGAATTTTGTGATGTCAGTCATGAGATGGTGGGGATAGAGCAGTGAAGGAACAGTTTTTGTATTGAAGTTGTTGAAGTTAAGTTATATAAATGCAAATTAGTGTTATAATTAGTATTTTTGATGGAATCTCAATCACAAAAATGGTTATGGAATATAAATTAAAAGCAAAGAGAAACAAATTTAAATATTTCAAAAAACCAAAACCTCAAAGAAGACTGCAAGAAACCAAAAAGAAGTACTGCAGGAAATAGGGGACAAAAAGCTACAAGACATAGAAAACATTAATAAAATGATGGAAATAAGGCTCACTTTATCAATATTTACTTTTTATATAAGTGAATTAAACTCTGTGGCAAAAACTCAAATTGACAAAAAAAGAATTTTATAAAAAAAATTCAATCCAATTGTATGCTATCAAGAGACTCACTTTAGATCCAAAGGAGCAAACAGATTAAAAGGATAGAAAAGATAATATCATGCAAATGATAAACAAAAAAAGAGCAAGGGTTAATGTCAGACAAAACTGACTTTAAATGTAAAAAACATTTAGAAGATGAAAGACATTGCACAGTGACAAAAGTTTCAATACAACAAGAAGATGTAACAATTATAAACATTTACACAATGACAGATCATAAAAATACAGGAAGCAAAAAAGCAAAAGCTGACATGAAAGAAGAAATAGACAGTCCTACAGTAACAGTAGTTGAAAATTCAATACTCTACTCTTAATGGTCAATAGAAAAAACAGAAAGAAAATAAGAAAATAGAGAACATAAACAAAACACTAAACTGACTAGAATGATGTGAACATTTTAGAGACAAGTGCCCAAACTACAACCCAAAATCTATTTATTTATCATGAAGTGCCAACTTTGCAATTAAACCTGAATACTGAGATTTTAATTTAGAAAATACAACTCATATATTAACATCTTTTGTCTTAAAAACAAACGTATGCCATAGGTTTGCTACTACTAAACTAGACCAAACAGAACACTTCATCCAGCACTGAGAACATTTTTCAGGACACACCACATGTGAAGCTACTAATTAGTTTAAAATGTAACATATATGTGCAATAGAATATTATTCAACATTAAAAAAGAATGACAAATCTGACATACAGTACAGCATGGATAAACCTTGAAGATATTATGGTTGATGAAATACACTGTGATTTCACTTATATGAAGTACACATAAAGCAGAATGGTGGCTTCCAAGAGAGAAAAAAATAGGGATTAGAATTTAATTGATTTAGAGTTTCAGTTTAACAACATGAGAAGAGTTATGGAAATGGATGGTAAAGCTGGTTACATAGCATTATGACTGTAACATCACTGAAATATTAAAATTGGTAAGATGATAAATTTTAGGCATATTTTACCACAGTAAGAAAAGTTGGATAAGGAGGATACTAGTCATTCAGAATTAACTTCATCAAAATCTCTTTAGGGCATTAACCAAGTATCTTCACCTTTCTAAATGAACATTTTGGCATTTAGTTATCCCAAAGGGAAAACAAAACTGATTCCAAATTTAAAAATCTGTATATAAATTCAACTTTACCACATATTAATATGAACTTGCATTGATTTCACTGAAAATTATTTTTATGTAACTATTGAGAAGTAAACATAATAAATATTTCTTTTTCCTAAACATGAATGAGTTGCTATAAATGTTTCTTACCTTAAGTGAAAATTGCTAATGAAAGTGTGAGAGAAAACCTATTAAGCTTTCCTAAATTTTCTAAATAATAAAGTTGTTTATAATGAGACACTGAAATGAAGGATAAGAAAAAGAACAAATGCTCGAATCAGAGAAATGGTAGTATTTTGTGCTCTCACCTTTCTCTGATAATATAGGAGCCAGAAATTAAATTATAGCAAATCCCTGTACTAAAAGTAAGGATACCTTTCAGATTTTATATCCATAGCATCCTTGTTTTTTAGCCATCTTATGTCTTTAGAGTATATGACTTTGTATTTCTCAATGAGTGAGGGTGCTCTACAACCACTAGAGACAAATGAATCCTTATTTATTTTCGAGGGCTACAACTGACTAGTTTTGTGACTTGGAATGTACCTTTAAAGATTCTGAACCCATGTTCACGTGTATAAAATAAGAACTACTAGGAGCTACTGAGGATATATCAGGATAACAGTAGTGAACTAAAATATTAAGTTTATTAAATATTTAGTTTAAAACAGACTTCTCATAAATCAGTAAGAAGAAGTAGAAATCTCATTGGAATATGAGCAATTCTTCACAAAGTATTTACAAAGACCACAGAAATTTTAATAAAATAAGAATAAACCAATAACATTTTTCCCTCTACATGATTGATAATAATTGAATATTTTCTATTTTTAATATTAGGAGACTACACTTAACTGCCATTTTGGGATCACTTAAAATTGATTAAAATAAATAGATTGGTGAGGCTCAGAGACAAATACAAGCAGATTTGGAGCTAATTTGATGGCAGAAGGACTTTGAGAATTTGTTTTATTTTGTGAAATTCACCAGAAGCTTGTATGTAGCTGATGTTATAGATGATCACATAAGAAAAAAAAATCATAAAAAGATTTCTGCCTGAAAAGATGAAAGTAGAGAAGATGTGGTTTATGTCTTTAACGGAAATTATACACTGAATACATTCACTGAACTCCAGAATTCAAAGTGAAGTGGGGAGTAGCAAATTAAGCAGCCTTGTTTTACATGATTTATAAACACTGAAGTCATTACCCCATAGTAAATATTAATGCAACATTTATATTTGTATCAAATAAAAAAACTGTGATAAGTAGCAAACAAACAGAAATTAAGGTGACTTAACAGAAGGCTTTTGTAAGATTACATGCGTGCATAGTGCCTTAATTACTTTTCCATTGCTGAGACAAAATACCCAACACAAGTTAAAAGAGGAAAGGTTTAGTTTAGCTCAGTTTGTAAAGTTTCCAGTCCAGAGTTGGCTCTGAGGCAGGGCAGCATGGCAGAGCAACATAGTAGAGTAGAAACAGTCCATGGCAGGGCAAGCAGTAAGGAGGAAACACTATCAGTGAGACTTCCTTTTCCTTTTATTACATTCAGTCTGCAAGGCCATTGTTAGTTTCCTTCATACCAAGGGTGGGCCTCCCATTATCTACTTTCAAGAACCATGCTAAACAAATTAGTGGATAAATGTAGTTTTCACAGACCCTTAATCCATATTACTCATACACTCTAGATCCATTTATCTCCTAAATACCCACCTGTAAGTGCATGAAGTTTTTGGGGAATCTAGGTACAAGCCATAACACATGGATTACAGATTCAATATTAGCAGTTATGGATAAAACCTAGAATGGTTAAAGTATCATACTCTTATTTAATTTATAATTACTTTTATTGTACAATACTGAGAACAACCAGGTGTTAGCACCATGATATGCAAATATTTTTGTTTATCTTTCTGGCTCTGAAACTGAGAACTCTAGGTACTTGCCTGGAAAAGCTCCCTCTTCCTATTCCTTTCCTCATAGTTCCCAGTGACATTATTTAGAGGGTGATATTTTAGATTCTCACCCTGATACAATCCTATGGATATAAAACCTCCCATCTTATAATTAAATAGAAGCCATAAACCAGCACAAAACTAAAGTCATGGCAGGGGACTTAAAAATTTAAGACCCCAACTGGGAATTTATTGTATATGTGAAAAACTTTGATTCATTTGTTCATTACAATTTTGTCTTGGTTACTTTTTACTCGTTGCTGCGACAAAATACCTGATGCCCAAGATGGGAAAGGAAAGGTTTATTTCTTAGTTTTTGGAGGTTTTATTCCACACTCAGTTGGCTCCAAGACAGGCAGCAAGGCTGGGCTACAGCTCATGGCAGCCACTGACAGCAAGCTCGAACCAGCAAAGTGCAAGACACACCTTCTTCCTGCCATAATGTCACATCCTGGCTCCACCCCTTTGTGGGTGGAACACTGAGACCATCAATCCAAGCACTAGACAATGAACCAATCACAAATACACAATGCAAACTCATGAGGCCTGGGGGACACAAACATAAACCATGACACCATTTGACATTTAGAAAAAGCCACTTTCGACAGTACCAACTTCATTACCAATCCAGAGCAAATGTTTCACTGGGATCAACATACAGGACTCTTGGTAAAATTTTGGCCTGTGTGTATGTCATAGTTACTCAGATATCTGAAATGAGCTCTCTTCCTGATACTCTACCTCTGTATTCTCAGGACTATTGGCTCTCGCTACTTTACAAGCGCTTGATTGGCCCCAAAGTCTTGGCAGTGCATGTGGCTGGGCTCCAGCGGAAGCCACGGCCAGGCAGAGTGATCCGGGACAAACTAAGGATTTATGCTCACTGCACAAACCACCACAAGTAAGTCCTCATAAAAATGGAACAGAAACACCATCTCAATGGCTTTCAGCCCCTCTGAGAATTCTATGCCATTTGAAACCTTAAAGCATTATCTGTATTCATGGACATTAATTGAAAACTGCCTCTGAGATCACCATATTCTGCAGGTTTCAAATGATTCTGCTAAATAGATTTTTTTCCAATTATATTTCCCTTTTCATATTTACAGGATCTATTTGTAAAGAAATTTATAAGATACATGCTATTTGTTCATCTAACAAATTTTTATTGAGTGTTTTCTCTATGCCAATTGATATAATGCCCATGAAGCTTTTTGTGTGCCTAAGCTAAAGCCAAGATGAAAGACCATGTCTTGTCTTATAATCCACCCACAGAGCTTAAGGAAAAGGTCTTCATTTGTCAAATGCATGCTGAGAGCTGCACTGAGGAACCTAGATCCAGACCAGTGCATCTCAGACTGGAGGATGCGCCAGAACTAAAAGAGAGCCTGAGGGTAGTCAGGCCAGCTTTAGAGCTGTTTTCAATACTGGGGGGGGGGGGGGATCTCATTTATTTTAAAAGCTAAATCAAATATAGGCTTCCTTTTAGGAGACTGGGGTGTGGGTAATAAGGAAGATGATCCCTAGAGGTACAACATTCCGGTGTACAACATTCCAGTAAGATAATGTGTGGTTATACTTCTCTTTTTGATCTGAAGCACCAGTGCTCATTAGGGTTGTCTTTAAAATAAACAGGAAAATTAATGATCAGTAGATAAATAGATTTTTTAAAAGTTTTAAAACATGAAGACCATGAAGGAAAAAGTTTAAACTGGTCTTAAAGCAAAACCCATCTGGTCAAGTATGTCTTTCTGACATCACTTCCTGTTTTGGAGCTGGCTGCACTGGAAAAGACAATTATTTTTTCTTACTGCAAAGAAAACCTGGGGGCAGGATTGCAGGAGATACCTCCTGCCAGACCACTATCCCTGGGCTTGTCAAGTCTATCAGGAGCTGATCAAGGGGAGGGGAAGCACAAAGAGCTGTGTGGTCAGATTACACCAGATGCTTCTTCTCAGTCCTTGATGAGAGAGGAACCAAGTCAGCTAATTCCTCATGATAAGCTTTTTCAAAGAATAACTCTGAGCAAAGCGGGGCAAACAGCCAGTTGTCTTGCCTGTAGATACAAGTGCCTATTGTGGGTAAAGGGAGGCTGGTTTGGGCAGGGGCCAGAGGCTTTCAACATCCCTTTTGCTCAGCAGGAAGCTCAATCTCATACCTGACAGAGTGACTGCTATACGGCCTTGGCCTGGAGTTATCTGATCATCACACAAGGGAACATTGTATTCCTTGTCTCTGCCTAGTCCTGAGGTAACCACCCAAAAGGTAGACCCCGGGCTTCAAGAGAGAAGAATTGCTCTTGGCACCTTCTGCCCCTGTTGGAAAATATACCAGTCTTCAGCCTTTATACTACTGTTCTAGGGAACCAAGGAAAAAGTGTCTGGCACCATATGGGTTTAGCAGGATTTGGGTGTCTTCCTTACATATTCTTATCCTGATGTTCATCCAGGTTTCTTTTGACATCTCATGGGAAGTTGTCACTAATATTCTTAGTACACCATAAACTCAAAGCCAGCATTTTTTTTTTTTTTTGGTCTTTTTCCTTTTTATCGGTACCAGGGATGGAACTCACGACTGCCTGCTTGCAAGGCAGGCGCTTATACCGCTGAGCTAAATCCCCAGCCCCCAAAACCAGCATTTTATTCATTTTTATATTCTTAGTTTCTGATATTATAACTAGCATGAAGAAGGTCTCATAAATGATGGATGAATGAGTAGATAAATGCAGAAATAAGATATCAATATGTTACTGCTAACTTACAGTTTTGTTCTTTTCCCCTATGATACCAGCAAGAGAAGATGGTGTGACAGAGTCACTAATAATACTATTCATTATCATGAGCCCTAAACAAATTAGTAACATTATCAGGATTTGGAACGTCTGGAGATGGGATGCCACTGGGCTCCTTTTAGTACAAGCTCTTCCTTGTCCCATTAAAAAGAAAGGAGAAGATTTTTCATAATTCATAGATCATGGACTATGTTACACCTGACCCATAAAGATAAAAATTGAGGGAAAGGTCTTAGACCCATAAAGCACACCTACAATGGATATAAGGAGCCAGTAAAGTTACACATCTCCTCCACATAGTAGGTGGCAGGTGGTTAGATAGGCATGCACAAGAGTAGAGATGGGCCTGGACTGCTCTCTGGGAAGCCATGTATCTTGTCTGTACCCCATATCCTGTATAACAGTCATAAGTAAACACTACTGATTCATTTAGTTTATTTGTGGCCAAAGACACTAAAGTCATTGACCAAGAGTGGCCATGCTGGCTTCATGCTAATCAACCTTGACCATTGCTCTGAAAATAAATACCCTGGGTCAAACAGAGATTAAATAAAAAAGGATAAGTTTAGTAATTGAACAATACAAAGGAAGTACCTTTTAAAATAACAACTTCCACTCCAATGTGTGTTGAACATTTGCTATGTAACAAGCATCTTGACAGATATTTGTATTTATGTTATATTCCTGAATTCTAAAGGGTCTATCTTACAGTCATTTGGCCCTGCATTCTATTGCACACAAGACTTCCTTTTCCTTCTTTCTGACAGTCATATAATAGCTGCTTAGAGGCCTCACTGCCTCTCCTGGCAGCCTCTTGTGCTATGAGTCATTTCTGTCATTTCTGACCTTCCTGAGCCTTGCCTCTTATGGTTGATTTGGAAGACAAAGTTAGGTGTTCACATCAACAGCAGCAGGTGCTTTTCTGCTTTCTACTCTAGAGCTAACAAATTAAGACACTAGAGTTAGTTCTTACCCCCGATCTTCCTCAGAAAACAATCACGTTTTGACAGAGAAACCTTTTTTATGAGCCATTGTACTGAGACAATGTATGTTTGTGGGGTAGAGCTGAGGTCCATGGCCAAGTTCAGAACCAATTGGAACCTGGTGGATGCTGAAGCAAAACGGAGCCTTTTGGGGTTCAACTTAGTTTACTATTGGCAAAACACAACTTCCTGTTTTTCAGAAAAAGTTTTTTAAAGGCTTATAAAAAAGGTTGCTGAGGCTTCTTGGACATCAAATGACTATTACAAAAAAATATTTTGATGAGTTAAGTGTAAATGAATCAGAAACATGTGGATTAAATTTCCCTTAAAATACTCAGGGGCTTTGAAATTAAGGGGAAAAAAATGTTTGGCAAAACAGGGCCTGGCTTTTACCGAACCCAAAACCTTTGAATTAGATTTGGATACGATGGACCAACCTAGTATTCAAACACATTGACTTTTACTGGGAATGACCATGGACTGCCAAGCATCATCTTCCTTCCTTTCTCAGACCCCCAGCTTCACTAGAGGTGTTTCTACAGCATGACTGTTTTCTATCTGGAACTCAAAATTCACCACCCACATGACATCTCCCACCTTTTACATTAAAGATGTTCCAATTCAAGTTTCCCTTCTCTGACTCACTTCCTCCTCCTCCCATGGAAACACAGAAAAGACATCAGGCAAGGAAAAGAACAGCCAGCAGAGATGAACTCCAGATATATGGATTGGCGGCTGGTGAAAGAGTCTCACCATGAATAAGATGTAGAGCAAGACGAGTGTTCCATCCAGACAGCTTCTCTCCAGAAAGGCCATTCCCAAAGATCACCAAGAGCTGCCGGGACAGCCTGGACTCCTTGGCATCAGGAGTCAAAAATGGCCTGCTGACCAAACCTTCAGACACCATTTTCTTAAGGAACAGACACTCCTCCAGGATTAGTTTTCTGTGGGCAGAAAATACACATTCTTCAAGAATCTGGATTCTCAACACAGTACTCAGGTTGATTCTGGAATCCGCAGCCAAGAATTTATCTTCCAGACAAAAGGCTTCTGCTTCATGTCCTTGCCTATCAATCAAGCAGGGTGAGAGAGAGCTAAGGCAGTCTTGTCTCCAATGCCAGTTTCTACCTAAGAAGGGCCCAGAAGTTCTGTGAGAGCCTTCCACATTAGTCCGGGGGCTGTACCGTTTGCCTCCCCCAGGGGAACTATGTAAACAGAGATCAGACCACAGCCAAACAGCTTGAAAAGGCAGCTTTCCCTGCAGCGGTGCTGTGATTTTAGGTCTCCCTCCCACCTACCACTTCCCTAGAACCTACCCTTCTCTCTGAAGCTCTAAGGGCTCTTTCTGCCCCAAATCTGTTTAAGAGAAACTCATAAATACAAGTATGTGATTCTCTTCTCTCTGCTTCTGGCCTTGAGAGTATTATTTGATAGTTGTTTGCAAAAGGAATTTGCAATCTGGTAAAACCAGTACCCATCATGCCTATTTGGCTAACACTCTGAGGCCCAGAATACAGTAGTTGATGACCTCTTCCTCAACTTTGCAGGTATTTTTAGCTAAACTGAAAGCCCACCAGTGGAATCTAGTTGTTCTAGTGATGGTCAGTGACAGCACAGACTATCAACATCTTTCTCCAGAGCAATGGTGACATCTCAAATCCATTGGCATTTTCTTCTGACTGGTTTGGCTACTAAAGCTAGTTAACATGTCCAGGGATTCGGAGGGACTGGAGGAGAGACTGCAAAGGAGAGACATTTAAGAAGTTATAAATGTAGGCATCTAAAATGCTTTAAACGCAATAATGTGCAAGATACAAGAAAAACCCTGATTCACAACTGGCTGGTATTCTGGGAGTTCCTCTCAAACCTCAATAGGTTCTTCTAAGTAAGTGTTTCTAAATCCAGTTTATTGGCCAGATATCGCAGAAAGGTTTTAAAATACAGATTCCCAGGCCTGGAGCCTAAATGAGTTGAATCAGAATTTTCAGGGAAGAGTTCTGGAAACCATACTTCTTTGAAAAATCTCAAATTATCATACTGACCTGCCCTTGGCGGCTGAACTCTTACTTCACACCTTTAAAAGCAGAGACCAGCGATCCAAGGATCCAGGGACTATGTGTGTGCAAGGAGAGATGTTTCCCCTTGGGCCAAGTTGACTTAGAGTTTCCCCAAACTTCTCCTTTGAAGGCGAGGCTGGGTCATTTTTTCTGTGTCCTCTCATTAAACCATCCAGATGGGGCCTTAAGGGACTCCTTAAAAACAAGGTCTTTTTTTCCTACAGAGAGAAGGAAATCATTATAGTTTTGTTGATACATGCTGAAAAACTCTTACATGTAGGCATACAGTTCTCCCAGGTTCCTGGACATCCTGTACTGGTTTAAAAGGATCCCAAATGGTGAATAGTTTTATAATCTTGGGGTAGGTGAAACGGCAAAGCAAGAATCAAACAGATAAATTTGACTACAGAAATCTTTTTTAACATATATATATATATATATATATATATATCAGAATACAGTATAAACTGAAATAGACAAGGACAACTGTGAGATGCTCTTATACCATGCATATATCAAAAGATTTCTATCTTTAACAAATAATTTTTACAAATCAAATGGCCAAAGGACATGAGCATGCAGTTTATAAAAGAAAAAATAAAATGGCTGTTTGGCTAATAAAAAATGTGGCACTTCAGTATGAAAAAAATACATATTACCACAAGTTGAGATTCCATTTTGACCTCTCATATCAACAGGGATATTTTAAAACATTAATTTCTATATTCTAAAGGATATGAGGAAATTGATGCTTTCATATGGTGCCAGTGGAAGCAAATTCCTAAAAAACTTTCTGGAAAGTTATTTCTACAGAAATGTGTGTACCCATTGAATAAGTGAGGTTATGCTGTGATAAGAGAACTCTCATTCACACTGCTTGTCCATCATGGTTCAACTATAGTTCTGCTCTGCCTCATCTTCATTCTAGGACCTACATCAATAACTCAGCTTCTCTGAAAAGAACTGTCAGTCAACTGACGAAGAGAAAAGAAACAGTGAAACATAGGCTGACTCCTAAAGCTTCTGCCCAAAGCTTTTAACATGTTCCCTCACATTTCACTAGACACAGCAAATCACATGGTCACTTTCTGTTTCAGCAGAGCAGGGACATAAAATCTTCTTACAGGGAACAAACTTTACCGTAATCCCAAATACTGACCACAGTCATCCAAGTATTATAATCCCTTTCCCAGTCTTCCTCACAATCCAAAAATTTAGATTTGTAATCCCATTGAGATGTTAATGGAATCTCAGCAAATTAATTCCAATCTATCAGTTCCAATGCAACCCGCAGCAAGAGTAAAGACACAAAGACATATTCCAATTTAAAGGCAGACAAGGGGTCCTAAATCCAATCCCCGTGAGGATGTTTGGACAAAGGCCTGGATCCTAGGCCTCTCCCAGAATTTGTTATCTTGTGAAGAAGAGGGTGGCTCAAGGATGAGTGACAGTGAGGGTGGTGGGAACTAAGGGAGTAACTTGAGCTGGCTAGCCAGGTAGAGAGAAAAGCATCCCTGCAAAATGTAGAGATAAAGATGCGCAGATGGTTCACTTTGCATAATTTAACTAAGATAGCAACTCAATTGTTTTTGGAAGCTGTTGCTTCAGTTTTTGATGTGTCAACTTTTGTGCCCTGGGGAGTCATAGCCTCTTTACCTTGAGATTCATACCCAATTGACATTCCTGGAACTGGGGGCTAGGGATTTAGCTTAGCGGCATAAGCACCTGCCTTGCAAGCAGGCAGTTGTGAGTTTGATCCCCGGTACTGATAAAAATGAAAAAGACATTTCTGAAACTGACTAGCTCTACCATGCCTCTGTGCTTATATATTTTAGAGAGCACTATGGAAAGAGGAGATTGACTGATGGCTTTAAAGATTACACACCAGTGCCTCAGCTAGTCTTATTTGCAATGCTTAGAGCCAATTAAAGAGAAAGGAAAATATTATAGTCAGCTCTGTACATAACAGTATAAGGAAATAAGTCTCAGTATAATCAAAGTTGCAGCAATTGTTGTGCATTCAAGGGAAATCACTCAAATTGTCCTCCACAAGCTGGAAAAATGAATGAGGAAGCATACAATGCACATTCCCTTTGACCTAATGATTACAACTTCTAAGATTTTATCCATGCAAAATAATCATGATGTGCAAAAAGTTTATGTGCAGTGCAGTCTTTCATGACAGAATTTATAATGGCATAAATTGAAAACGACACAAAGTCAAAGGTAGCTAACTAAATAAATAAATTATGTTACATTGGTATGACTGAAAATTATTTTCTTCTATAAGTAGAACTTGAGAACATGTTTAAAATGTTCATTAACTGAAAAAGAGCTAAGTAACTACTGTGATACAAGTTATATAAAGACAATATTTGTATACGTGCCAAAGTACTTAATAAATATTTGTCAAATTGGTAATAAAAAAAAAACTTGCAAGTGATGCCAAAATCTTGTATCTCAAATTCTGTAGTTATGGGAAATTTTACTTTCTTCTTTGTTTCTCTATTTTTAATGGATTTGTTTGATTTCAGTCATCATGCTTTACATTTATATTCAGAAAAAATTTTTTACCTAAAATCACTGCAATAAATTTAAACAAGAATAGAAGGGATGTGGTATGAAGTAAGTATCTTCTTTTCAGGAAATCACAATAACAAGACCTTGGTGTCTTGAAGGTCTGTTGTAGCCAAAACGCCATAAAACAGGAGTCGTTTTCTGGGGTGGTCCTATTTTGTGGAGACTATAAATTATTTAGGTGCTGACCACTGACTGACCACTTTGTTTTCTCTCTCTCTCTCTCTCTCTCTCTCTCTCTCTCTCTCTCTCTCTCTCTCTCTCTCTCCCCGGTTTGTCTCAGTCACAACTACGTTCGAGGTTCCATTACACTTTTCATCATCAACTTGCATCGATCAAGAAAGAAAATCAAACTGGCTGGGACTCTCAGGGACAAGCTGGTGCACCAGTATCTGCTACAGCCTTATGGACAGGAGGGCCTGAAGTCCAAGTGAGTACAGGCCTGGAAACAGTTTAGGAGTTGGACAGAGAGGGCACTGAAGTCACCTTTTTGCTGAGGGGACCAAGGTTGCCACTAATTCACTCAGAGGCGCAGTGGGATGGAGTAAGACAAAGAATAGGACTGTTGATTTCCTTTGGGACATTGGTCAACTGCTTCTCCATCTCTAGGCTTAGATTCCTCAACTTTACAGTAAATTTGTGAGCAGAACATTTCTCAACGAAGTTATTCGTGGTATTTGAGCAAAACACTTTTTCATTATGGCAGATTACCACATTGCAAGCCTTTTGGCATTCTTGGCATCTGTCCTCTCAGTACTAACAGTGTTTCTGGTCAGGTGACAACCCCAAATCCTGGTTGAGGACCATGTCCCTTCCAGCAGTAATGTTCTGTAACATTCATGACTCCTTTTTTTCCCTGCATATTTCATGGGGCTTAGCGGAAGACAGGAAAAGGATTAAAAGTTCAGAGATCACAAATTATTCTGCCTCTAACTTTATTCCTTCAATGCATCACTGCTTTATCTCAGTTTCTTCATGAGAACAATAGGAGAGAGATTATATTCTGCAGGTTTTGTGGCCCCCCGCAAACTATAAATATATGATTCTGCCATAACACTTCGTTGCCTCTTTCAGTCTCTACAGGAGACTATTGGCAACAATGATCTACCAACAATATGCAACTCTCAGAAACAGTGGGAAGGTGCCTCATCACAGACAAGGCCACCCCGTTCCCCAAGCAAGGCCTCTCAGGAAGGGCATGGGATGCTCTGCAGACTGGGGGCGTTCCCATTCCATTTTTAATGTTTACCAACTATAACAAAGCTGTAAACTTGGAGCAGGTGGCTTGCACTCCCACAGCTGCCCACAAATATTCATGCTATAATTGTTCGCTGTTTCACTGCAACTTTGGTGGCTTGCATTTGGCTTCCAACTGTATGTATAATGGGAACAAAACACAATCTGGGAAGTCACTTACTAAAATTCTTTAGCTCACCCTAGATCGTATTTTTACAAACTGGCTCTTCTTTTCTGGCTCCACATACATGGCTTCTCCTTTTCTCATTTAGGAAGAAAGAAAAATACTTTATTCCTCTCTTTATCCACTTCCCTGCAGTTCATGATAGGCATGCTCAATTCACTGCCTTCAAGTCCCAACTTCACCACTAATTAATTGCATAACCTGAGAAAAATCATTTATCCTAATTTCTTAGCCTCAGTTTCCAGTTTAAGAATTCAAACTTTGCTATATATTTGGCAAAGTCCATTAGAGCCCTAGAATTCTCAACCCAAGTCTGATTTTCTAAGGACCATAAATGCATTTAAGCCTCCTGCTACCATTCAACAATGACCTGCAAAGCTATTTCTGGCAGAAAAGCTGACTCCTTAGCAGTGATTGAAACAAACAAAGTCTCCTGAAACCAAAGTTTGGGAGCTGAGCATGTCTGGTATCAGGAAGAGAAGACTTCCTGAAGGGCACTGAGCAAGTGGTGTAATCTTTATGTAATCTCTGTGAGCTTCAGTTCCCTCTCATATGGAGCAAAGTAACCAAAGTAACCAAACAACTGTGTGTAAAGTTTCTGACACACAGTAAATGTCAATAAATGTCCATTTCCCTCCTTTTCCTTAACACAGAGTTCTAGCCTATTAGGGAAACTGGAAAAAATTGCTCTCCCTAAAAATGTTATTGAAAAGAAGAGTCACCTTCGATTTTAAGATAATAGGTTAACAAAATATATGTTAACATATATGAAAATGCATTCTGAATGTTATATAGAACCACACAGTATAAGTCACACAGTATAGTCAGAGGGCAGCATCTTTCAATGAATTCATTTCTCCACAACCAAGGACACAAACCTCCAATTTACCCCACCTCTAGGTTTTGGCCTCCAAGATTACTTCTCTTTTGGGGGTTCTCTCAGGAAGGGTGTAGTTACAATAAATCAGAGCAAAAAAGGATGAAAGGAAGCTAGGCACAGTGGCACACACTTATAATCTCAGCACTTGGGAAGCTGAGGCAGGATGACTGGGAACATAAAGTAACTCTTATTATCTTAGGTTTGCAAGAAAGGCCAGAAACATTTAAAGTCTCTAGAAGGGTATCTTCATGTGAACTTGGAGCTAAAATGTATCAGTTATCACACAGGAAACACACTGGGCCACAACTCATTCAGAGTCCAGGCACTGAGATTCATAGAGAAGCTCCTGTTTCCTGTCTCAGTAGTGAACCAATCATCAAACCCCACACACAAGTCTCAACTCTTTCTATAAGAGATTGTTCTTATACTAGGAACAAGAAAACAGATAGACGCTCTCTTCCCCATAGCACAGAACTTTTAGAAACTATATGGTGCACAAGAGAGAAAGGTATTCTGCGTTTGGAATGCATATTCTTCAAGGAATGGTTGAAGGATATGGAGAGATTTAGTTCAGAGAAAAAAAGTAAGTCATGAGACTTTTCAGTTACTCATGGGACATCAAACAAAATTAAACAAAATTAGCCTGGAAAAAAAAAAATAGTTCAACTTAAAAGAAGTAGATTTTACCTCAAAACAAGCTCCTTTTCCAAGGCTTACCTGATCTGATGAAGGATAGGATAGAATAGGCTCTCATAGAAGGTAGCCTGGAGGTACCCTGACAGTGACAGGGTTAGTGACATCCCAGAGATGTTCTAATGCCCTACCTGTTGGGAGGCTGAGTAAGAAAGTATTGCTTTCCATCAAGGTCTAAGCTTCTATTATTGTTTTCTGTTCCCCTCACCCCTCCACTCCCAGAATCAGCAGTCTTTATGAACACCAGAAAATAACTTCTTCTAGCACTAGAAGACCACACAAAGAGGTTTTGCTGCAAGACTGAATGGGATAATATCTGGCTAGTTTTTCTCCAGATAATCCCCAGCTATGGGTTTCTTCCTAGCCATGTTCCCTGGTTCCTCATCTTTCTGGGAAATGGTCCCATTTGCACCCAGGACTACAGATAAATGAGAGGAGATGGGCACCTTTGAAGCAGCTCCACTGTGTACAAAATAGAGAATCTAACTATGGCCTCATGTGAAGAAACTTTATCCACCAGGAACAGTCATACATTCCTGTAATCTCGGCACTCTGGGATGGTGAGCAGGAGGATTGCGAGCTCCAGCCCAGCCCAGTTTAGCAACTTAGCAAAACCTTATCTCAAGGTAAAAATATAAAATGGACAGGGAATGCAGCCCAGTGCAAAGGCTCTGGGTTCAATTCCAAGTTCTAAAAGAAAGGAAAGGAAAGGAATCAGTTGTGCTTAAGATAACAAAATCTTCAGTGTCTTTCAACAAATCAGAAGAAACATGAAGCTGGACCCAAAATGCCAACTTACATCCAAAAATAAGAGGGCTCACTTTTCAGGGGAAAAGTCAAACCCAAACAGGCATTAGGTCAGATCCCAGGGTTCTTCTCTGTGTATCTTATTTAATTTTGTTTCAAGGAAATACAATTCAGAAATTAGAAATTTCTTCACATTGGTGGCTTTAACACACTGACTTGAGTCAACCTGCAGACACTAAGAAATCTTGAGATAGAATAATGTTTTAAGGTGATACGGTTTCTTCTCCTGACATCAGATATTCTGGGACTAGACTGTCCAGATGAGAGGATGTCCCAGATTTAAACCTCTAGCAAAGGATTGGCCACAATTTCAATCTGTCTAAACCCTTTGTTTTACCTATTGCTGTGATTTTATGGATAATAGCTTTAATGGTCATTATCTCATTTAATCTGAAAATTATGAAAATACCGAATAATTCTGGCTTCTATCCCACTTTAAAGAAACTGAGTCCCAATGAAGTGACACTTAAGAATCACACAACTAGTAAGAAGAGAATCTATAAAGCACCTAGCATTCAGTTCTCCTGATTCCTAGCCCAATACTGTTCTGTTCCAATAGTCCAGTAATATTTACTCATGATTACAGAGGACTAATTCATGGAATATATAACATAACTCTACAATAATACTCTTTGTTCATTTCAACTGAAGTAAGAGGTCAGGAACTATAAGTATTTAATTTATCTGAATTAAATTCAGACTAGGAGAAATAGGAATTTAAAGTTCAATATGAATGCTTCAGATCACAATGTCCCTTGATCTTCCTAGTCCTGGGCTACATCATCATGTGGCATCCAAGACATAGTTAATGTGGGGTATATAGGAGTATGACTAGGGGGTGGGGGACTCTGAGGTCCCTGTCCTTGACAAGATCAACTCTATTGTTAGTACCTAATAGAAAGCACTCTTTCAGTGATACCATAATGGAGGTATGTTTCTGTTTTGAAGCTAATCAATTCCATATTAATGTTTAAACTTCATATCAACATGAACCTCTTCTTTATTCATGATATTTTTACCTGAAAGAATCTTAAGGCGCCTTAGAACTGAAATCTTACTGTCTAGTCTGTGAAGAAACATAGTTTTTCTTGTTTTTCTACATATTCCTTCCCTTGTTCATCTCTCTAAGACATGACTTTTGCTTTGATTTTGCCCTCATTAAATCTTATATCAAATAAAAACATAGCATCTAACTTCAGGATGTTAAGGAAATGTCATTTGATGTTAGCAAAACAGAATGGTTCTGAACATACTCAAGTAATATCTGGGTGCTAATACTTTGGAAATATTTTCCCATACCTGTCATGTCCAGATCTTGGCTAGTGTGAAAAGTTCCAAGAACCAAGCTACTCACATCCTCAAAATCTCTCAGTCATAAACAGGAACAGCACACTTCATTTTGGACATGAGAGTCCTGGTAAAAGGAACTTGGCCAATGGGCCATCTATCCATTGGTTCCAGCAGACTAAAGACATCTGCATGTTTGAATTCTATACTGATGAATTCTTGGTACTTGGTACCTGTAATTTTTTCAACTATGATCAACCACATGTAATTTCTGCAAGTTTCTGTTATCTTTACTTGTCTGGGATCATTCAAATTAGTCTCTTTTTTAAAAAATAAACCTCTC